CTACAGAGTGCAGAACAGCTATGTATGGTATTCTTAGATAGCAATTTGCAGCGCCACATTCATACGTCAGAATTTGATTTCTATGAACTGTGACTCTCGATATGGACATGGCTTTGTGAGCATCAGACAGTATTGTAAAGGGTAGACATCCTGGACGAGTGTGTAGGGAGTGGAGACTTAGCTGCCTTACTTGATAAGAGTAAAAAACCGTGGGACTATGGGAGAATTTATAGATATAGTAGATGTGACATATGTGCATGTTTATATGACAAGTTCATGAAAAAACGGAACTAATACATAATGGAGTTTTCCCACAAATATTTTGGAGCCCTCTCCCTCGTGTTCGACATGTTATTGTACATGTGTTTACTTTTGTGCATTCCAGTATTTTAGAGAACTTCGTTCTGTGTCTGCCACCGAGAGACATTCTAATGGAAGTTTGAGAACTTCTGTGTTTCTCTTCTTCTTTAAAAAAGAAAACAAAAAACTAGTGGGAGCTCCCAATAGAATAGAGAAAAGAAACAACATAAACCGGATTTCTAAGAACAAGCTACGGGGTGACTTTTCCTTGTCCAGTGAGTCAGTAGCTAGTCATTTTTTCACATGCAGCTTCACAGGAAATACATTGGTCACAAAGCTCCCTTGTACACAGGTATCTACAAGTATGTGCCCCCAGTCTTGACATGACACGTCGCTCTGGAACATGGCAGCAGTCCTCACGAGACACAAATGAAGAGAAATAAGGGAAAGCCGTAGGGTCAGCGCAATAGATGAATGCATTCCTAGGGCTGGTGTGCACACACGAGCACTAGTCGCGAAAGAACTGAGGCTAGGTTGACAGCGAGTGCTTGCTGTGTGCCCTGCAGTGTGCTCTCAGCATTTTACCTCCTTTTCTCGTGTTTCTGTGTTTGGAAGTTATACAGTCATGTACTCACCTTCACGCCTGCAGCTGCCAGCCTCCTGTGCACTCAGAGAAGCATCTTCCAGCATTGTTTTCACAGATAGGCTTCTTTTCTTTTCTTTTTCTGGTATTCACTCCATTGTGAAAGTTCCACTTGCTGCATACAACCAAGAGCCCTCATCTGCATGATCTCCTTGTGCTTGGGTGCTGCTTGTCAAGCTGCGATCTACATTTCCTGGAGGTCTCATTTGCCGGGTGGAGAGCTGGCTCATCAGGGAAAGGACTGTCTCTGCTCTGTGCCCTCTGTCCTCAGCGTTTTGTGACAAAGGAATTCCCCTAGAGTCCTCCCCTGAAGCCCCTGGAGCCTGTGGCTCAAGCAGCGCAGCCAGTCTGTGCAGTGTCCCTGACGTCATGCAGTGTATGCATAAGCCCTGCTATTGTCTTACTGCTACAGCAGGGCTGGGGATTGCAGTATCCGCTGTAGCTGCTGCTACCTAGCCCTGCCTCACTGCATCTCCGAGAGAGCCACGTCGGCCTGCCTTTGCCTGCTGGATTTCTACAAGCAGCTCTTTGGGGTTCGGCTCTATAGGAGACCTTGCTTTTCAATCACTCGGGAGAAAGCTGAAGCTCGCAAGAGAAGAATCTGGCAGTTGGACACGGCTTGGACCGCATTGTCTGGCTTCATGACCCCCGCTGTGTAGGCGCTCATCTCTCACAAGTGCTCTCTCCTCGCCGTTTCTTCTTTTTTTTCTCCTCCTCTCTCCCTCTCTCTCTCTCTCTTTTTTTTGCAAAGCAGCATCTGGAGCCAGCCATGTTTGGCACTGAATCTTCCTGTAAGTACATGCATCCCACTTCTTGGCTATTTAGAAATCTGCTTGCTGTCACGGTATGCCTTAGGTCATGGACATCGTTTGTGTTTTTGGCTCTCATCACAAAGGAATTGGTCACAGGCAAGGGACTCCTCCTTCAGGAGCTGGTTATTCATCCCTCAGGCCAGGGTGTCAGAGTGGTCAAAACCAGGCCTCCAGGAGGGAGAGAGGAAGATCGCATCCAGTCTCCAGAACGTGTTAACTGATGGGATCAGGTCTGTCACTGATCTATTGTTGTGGGATCCTTGATGGTGCTTAAAGCTGAAAATAGATACTGGGAGGGTCTGGAAAGATAGTGTTTATTAGAAAGGAGAGCGGAGCTTCACATTTGTATCTAAAGGGAGAGAAGGCGTCCTTGCCCCCCCCCCCTTTCCTCCATATTTTTACAAAAATGTTAGGGTAGATGGCATATGTAGATTAAATAAAGAATATGAAATAAGCTTTATTTTAGGGGATGATATATGTGTGTGTATATATGATATATGTGTATATATGTGTTTATATATAAGTACACACACATACATAAAATAGCTCAAATTTTGAGATGCTGGCTAGTGTTACAGCCCAGCAGCATCATATCGGTCTTAAAACTTACACGGTGAAAATGCTTCTGTGCAGAGCAGGCCCTGCACAATGGGCTGGGCTGGACAGCAGCTGAAATGGCTATTTGAAAATCGGCGAGCCACTTACATGATCTGAGGATTATTTAACATGGGGCGCAGAAAGATAGAACCCGTCAAGGCAGTTGTACAGGCTCTGCAGAATATTTTGCTAACATCTATAAGCCAATGTGACCATTCAGAATTTCTAAATAGACTCAACTTGCTGGCCTAGATCATTAAAAATTACAAGGCACTATCGTAAGTGGAGAGGGGACTAGGGCAGGGAGTGAGGGAAATTTCAGATTTCTTATGAAGCTGCATTTTGACACCCCCCTCCCCCCTCCCCCACCTCCACGCTCCTATTTCAAGTGATCCGTGTGGCTATTTGTACACAGCTGATTTATTCCAGGATAGTAGCATTTCAAGAGAGCTAATAGCCCTCAGCTCTTTTGTTTCTTCATTGGCTGATCTAAGGGGTCTAAAGCTTCACCGCCGAAGCTTTCCATCTCTGAAACTACGACACTACCACCTCAAGGTCAAGATAGAGCAACTGTGAGACGTAATGTCCCACTCGACATGTGACAATATTATTTTCTAGCAATTAAAGTAAATCGAATACAGGTGATGGTCCCTCTAGAGTCCCTGTCATCCAAGAGATAGAAGCAGATTATCCAGTGATGCGGACACTCCTGTTTTATTTCAGTCAAGGAATTCTGTTTGTCTAGGAGCAAGCCTATTTATATATCCAGGAGAAACGATACCTCTTCCTTTATTTAGCTGAAATGGCAGTTGAAAGTCTGTGTTAGGGAGGAGAGATTGGGGACCAGGTACTCTAATGTTGTCAAGCCAGGTTTACCAAGCATGCAGTCATTCTTGATCTTCAAACTTGTTCTTTGACAATATCACTCATGTGCAATGTGCGATGTTTGAAAACGGCTGGTTGCTTTTGGTCTCCATAGTTACCAGATTACAGAGCAGATTATCATTCAGAAGGTAACACCATCATCAGGGCTACAGCCTTTTTTGTTTCCTTTACTGACTTTCAGGTTTGTGTCTTCTTTGTCACTCGAAGAGTACCCATAGGCTCATCCTGTCAGTAGTTAAGTATTGAGAATGGACTGCCTTCTCCGCTTGAAAATGCCCTAAGCCTGCATGTCGACTTCAGTATTTTTTGTCTGTGTTTTCAGACATAAATTTTCAAGCCTTTGATTTCCACCTTTTAGAAGCTATTTTATAGGCTGAAAACTATCCATAGTTATCATAATTAGAAGAAATGGTCACGTTTGGAATTTATTATTATGTTCGGAGGTATTCCTGTTATTACTAAATTGTCATAGTAAATACTTAAAAAGCATCTCTCCCCTGTGTAATGTACGGTGTTAGGCCTTGGAAAGGTAAACTTTTCCCCTAATATATTCCAATTTATGATCCTTAGACCTGATTTCTGGTGGCAGTACGTGTACTGTACTGGAGGCTTTTACTTTTTTAAATTGAGGGGTGGTTTCTATCTGTACAGTAACATGCATAAATCTAAGGTCTGCCTTACCTTCTTGTACCCATGTGACCACCGTCAAGATCAAGCTAACAGAATCGGTCTATATCCATAAAGTTATCCTGTGTCTTTTCAAAGCCAACATTACCTTCCATCTTGCCAGCGGTCACCACTGTTCTGATCTCTGTTGTCATAAACTTGCTTTGCCAATGACTCTTTAATTTCCTTTCTCATCCCCTTGCTTCTTGCTCAGAGGAGAAAGCCATCCCAGTGCCTTCATTGTCAAATTCTGGATGACATTGATTTTATGTCGCAGGTCTTTCAGATACACAATTTGTAGTACTAATCACATTGTAACATCTTCTAGTTCACTGAAATGGCATTGCTTGATTTAAGTGATTTTTAACTGCTTTAAAAACAATGAAAAGATTTACACGCTTTACCTGCAAGAGTAAGCCCTCCCTCACCCCAGCTCATCAAAATGACAGACTTACGTGGTTATGACAACAGAATTAAGATTCTTTTGTGTCTGCCATCACTTTTGTGAGGACCTCCCACCGTGCCAGCTCATTTCTCTGACGTTGAGGCTCTGAATCTCCCACGTGGAAATGGGTGTTTTCTATCAGCGTAGACTTTCCGTTTCCCAGAGAAAGTGGAGCATCTGTACCTTAGTAACCCCACGTGCTATCACCTCAATGTGCGTTCCCTCGAGTTTTTCCTTGACTGGAATTTCCCATGGCTAAAATGGGTATCGGAGGTCTGCCCTTCATCTGCTTCAAGGAAAAGCAAGTTCAGTTTCTGTGGCCAGAATCATTTAGATTTAAGAAGGACCCACTATTGATAATGTTTTGTTGGCAGGGATGGTCATTATTTACATACCTTGGGTACATCATCTAAAATAATAAAATCCATACATTGACTTCCACACAAACATCAGAATTTCCAACGCAAAGTTCATAGAGGGAGAAAAACATTTCATCTTTTTTTTCTCTTTACCTTGTGGAGTAAAGAAAACTGGTTTAGCGATGCTGCTTTATGGTTGCACCTGCTCTGATAAAGTCAGTTATTCTCTGAAGAGGAAATACTCCACGTATGATTAATGTTGATTCAATTAGCATTTGCTGGACCCAGTCCTCCCCCGCCTTCTCCTTTCATGTTGGACTTTTTCCAGTCCCCAGGGTCCCCTTTAGGATGTGCTGTTGTGGGAATTGTGCCCTCCTCAGTGTGTTCCAAGCACCTGCCTTATTAACCCAGTGAAGAGAGCAACATCATTCCTTCTGAGAAATGGGCCCCCCCTGAGCCCGATAGTGTCATATGATCCCACTGCCATCTACTAAGTAGTTGTAATCAATTCTAGAGATGGATGGCATCTGTGAAGGGAAAGAGCAGTCACCAAAGGGCCAACAAGGAGGTGGCACGAGACTGCCCACCTCGCTAAGCGTGATAGTGGCTGCCTGTGGCAGGTGGCAGGTGTTCTCGCTAGCCCAGATGCAGGATTACAAACTGGTTCATGCTGGTTCCAGCTTTTGCTGACAATGCACCTTTGTACCCCAGATAGACTGAGCCAGAACATGCATTTTGCAGAGCGTCAAGCTGGAAGGTACTGATGTGAAGGCCTGTGCTGATGATGCTGGCCCACAGGTCTATCTACCTGTCAACCTCTGGGTACCCACATCGCTTTGGGTAGCCAAATGTTGGAGATGATTTAGGGTGCATGTGATTTGCCCTGTGAAGTCCAGCTGTTGTCCTTCATTTTCATTACTTCTGAATGCATTCAGCTGGAATTGGCAGCTTCTCAGTTCTAATAGTGAGTGTGGTACCGTATTACCAAGAAGAAGGCAATTATCCCAAATTTTGAGCCATTATGTGGGAGATAGTCAAATGTGTATACTCTAGCAATATTCAGTCACCAAGATACTGTATAATTAAACAGGCATCTCTTTGATAGAGAAAGAAATGAGTCACACTTCCCTTTTATGTGCATTTCAGGGCCATTCTTGGCAATCGATCAAAGTGCGATTAAACCTGGGTCTGCTGCTTTGGTGTAGGGCCCGTGAATCCATTTCAGTGTCTGTAGTGACCAAGGCCATTTCCGCAGTGGCTGTTCACAACAGGACCGTTTCTCAGCATAAGCACTTAGTTCTTATTAAATCATTGTTTCAGACACTGCTGTTACTACTCTCACAATGTCTGACATTGTAGTACTACATTGCGACTTTCCTTCTGGGTGGTATTTTCCATACGAAGCTAGGTAATTTAGGAACATCAGCCAATTTCTTCTCTGACAATTTTAATCTGGCCATTAGAATTTCACTGTATTAGATTTAGCATGCCTTCATTTTACTTAGAGATAAAATATGAATATCTAAATATGCACATAAAAACTCACCCCCAAGCCTACACTCAGGAGGCCCTGGATGGAGCAAATGAGTAAACACGTGACGACTAGTCAGCAGGTTGACAGTTCAAACCCACCCAGGAGTTCCTTGGATGATGAGCTGCCTAATGATCTGCTTCTGACAAGTCACAGCCCTGAAACCCTCTGGAGCCGTTCCCTGTGATGCACATGGGGTCGCCACAAGTCAGAATGAACAGCAACGAACAAGTCTGCAGTAAGCCCTGACCTGAACAAGTTGGACACGATTTAAAAAAAATAGAATCCACAGACTACTGAGTTCACAAACATGACAAGTACTGATGTGTCACAGAGCTTCCCAGTGTGCCACAGTCACCCAGGACCCTGGCCTGGTACAGCTTGTTCTTAACTTGTCTTGCTGTGCTACCTTCTCCTTCCTTGTTCTCGAAGTTCTGAGGGGAATGTCCTTTTGGGTTTCTTCGCTGTTAGTAGTTCTCATCACAGTTTTTAGTCA